CGCATTTCGAACCGCGCTCCCTGACGAGTGGCGGCAGCCGCTGCTCAGTCAGTCCCTTCTCTCGCCCATTCAACCACCGGACTGCAGATATTCTGCCTCTTCGAGGTTGGAGATTTACTGCTCGGTGGCGCTGTTCGTCGCCAATCACCCGAATAACACCACGTATGTGGACTTTTTATAGCCCGTAAATCTGTGGCCTCTTCTCTCAAACATCTGCTCCAATACTCTGTGCCTGCGTCGGCGTATTCAGGCTACGTATCTGTTCGGTTATTGCTACTAATTATTGTCGTGGCTTCTCAATTTTGTTTTCAGTTGTATTGCAGTCTGCTCGTACCCGAAGTAACCCGTACTTGAAATAGTGTTACTTCAGTTTGTAGAGCCACCGCAATCAGTGAAAATTCTGAAAGTTTTGGTTAGTAACACCGCAAAGTGCTCTTTTGTTATGCTCGAAAAGTGCACCGCTTTTCAAAATATTATATGTTCGTTGGCGAGATAGTTCGTCTATGAGTGCTTGCCTTTGTTGAACATTTCAATCCCATACTTGTTTTTGCATTATAAATTTTCTGAAGTTTTTTTTTGAGGATTCTGAAGTACTGTTCCTGTGAGCGAATTGTGACCCACATTTGCATGAAAACGGAAGCGAGGTTGAGGATCGTCTCGTTTTCGTGGCCTTCATGCGGAGTTGTTAGATTTTCGCTTTGCAAAGGGGTTGAGATTGACTACACTAGCTGAAACTAACTCTAAAATCTTTTTTTTTTCTGATTAATCTAACACTCATCTTCTCAACTGAGCAACTCTTTTCGAATAAATTACAAAATGCTGCTGTCTTCCCCACTCTTGTAGGGGTCCTTCTTATACTTGTGTTGTTGTTGCGTTCGTTGCTGTATGTCCTGTGCTACTATTGCTAAGCCTTCTTTTTCATGTGGATCAGTCATGTCCGGAGCTGAGGCTGACCCTAAAGAAGTCGCAAAGTCTGCCGAAAAGAAGGAGCAAGAAGCAGCTGCAGCTGAGGCAGCTGAGGAAAGCCGTGACTCTGCTGCTTCGCTTGACAATGATGAGAAGTGAATACTTTTCTTGATTTTTCAAAATTAACTTGCTCACAAACACCGTATACTCTTCAAAACATGGAAATCTTTGGACCTAGTTCTTTCATATTTTGGCATCTTCCTGCATCTTTTTAATCTGAGGTTGACATAAGATATCGAATTACTGCTAGTTAAGTTTGTGAGTATTGTGCGTTGCCCGTGCGGCGGTGACTGGGCTCACGATAGGTTTTTCGAGGTCAGTTGTCGTTTCTCGCTACGCTTAGGTCCGTGCGCCGCATCTCATGTTTTCGGAAAGTTTCTGCAGAAAAATTTGGAAGGATCCAGAAGCAGATTTTTTTTTGCTGTGGATCTTGATCTGACTTTCTGCAAATATCTTTCCTTAAACCATCAATTAGAGATGTGCTTACCATTTAAGATCTTCCTTGTGTATTTCAAGTGATCACAGTCTTTCTGATTCTTAACGTGATTCTTCCCATGACTGTCATATCTTCATTGCTATAAATAGGTAACAGTTTCAGTTAGGATGACTCCACCTTTCCAAAACCAGTATTCTAGTCTCTTGGTCGTCGCACCAGAGCCCTTTCACCTGTGTCTATTTTATATCT